GGAACCATCGTTGAACAAATTTTTAAATTATTTTCACAATTTAAGTAAATTCCGCTGCTTGACGGTAGCGTCAAGTGCCTCGAGTGCTCCCTCAGCTACCAGCAGATATTGCTCAATTTCCCGCACTTGATCGATCTGAGCGGTCGCCTATCGTCGGTCGGTCGGTGGCCGCCTAATTTGAGGGCTAGGCGACAACGCAGGGTAGTTTATAGCTGATAGAGCGCCAGATCCGCAAAGCAATCGAAAGAGGCAGAGTGGCAGAGTCTCGAACATGAAACTGATCACTCGACTTTTACGCTTCTGATGTAGATAACTTTTTACTAACGTTTTACTTTCATTCCGATACCGTGCCGCGGATGAGTTGAAGCCGGTTACTTGATGATGAACGATGGCAGTTCGGGCGAAACATCCAATCGCTATCAAATGAAACCTTTTCCTGATCAATCCTGCGGCTAGCCATGAAGTCGCAAGACGTACCAGCTTCTAGATAAAGGATTACGCTGATTGGAAAGGAAACACGAGTCTATGAGTTATAGTAGTCGAATGGTGGCAGTTAACAATGTTTTGTAAAACAACCCTCAGGGCTGATCCTCGAAGCGAAAAGTGCAGCCGCGTCATGTGAGAACCTAGAAATGCCGCCCGCCACGGAACTGTAAACAAACAGAAATGTCACTCAGACTCAGAAGCTTGAAGTTATAACGTACGACAGTAGTTCAAGTGGCAACCTTGGCGATGACTTAACGACAGTCGCAAACTTGACGGATCATACCGCAGAGCTGTGTGTGAGTGTATGAACTACTAAAGCCGTTGTTTTCGCTGTCATGTGCTGACATGTAGTAGCACTCGTCTGAACGACCGTTACGTAAATTCGAGTGCGGTACTTTTGAAGTACATAATGCTTCACCAGTAGCCGTAAATGACTCTGAAACTTGCGATCCAAAACCTGCGATTTGCATTGCTCTTACCAGCTATTCGACTAGAAGATTCGCTGATTCATTACCGGCGATCTGTTTCTTGCATCTGTACTTTCAACCCCAACCTGACTACTCACGCGCAACTTCATGCGAAAACCGAGGTGTTAATTTCATCATCCTCACGTATTACAGGAAACTTTAGTTGCATTAAATTCCAATTCGGGATTGGGAAAGTACTTCATGCGTTATTGTAGAATTGACGTTTGCGATGACCCTCAGTCCTCCGGCTTGGAGTGATGGTGTCTTTTTCTCAGAAAGTAGGAATAATTATTTTGTGTTCTTCTTCTTATGCGTGGAAACAGCCAGGGTAATCCTTCCGTCCGTTACGTCGGTTCTCGTCACCGGCTTGAAGGCGATCGTGTAATGTACTGAGCGGTTAAGATTCACCGGAAAATGCAGCCGCTAAGAGGGTTATGTTACACTGAACTTCGCCCTGATATGTAATCCGTACGTTGGCCGTCGTCATACTTTTCGAGATCTGCAAGAGGTACGGATTGTTCAGTGTTCTTTCGCAAAATCAGAGGCTTAATCTTAGCAATGAACTCGTTAAGATAACGCGTTTGAAACTCGTTGTGGAACGATTAAACGACGTCTAAGAATTGACGGTTCAAAACAGTGTTGTGAATATCTAAAAGATTATTCTCCAGCCCTGCTTCCT